GCTGTATTGGCCGCAAAAGGAGGCCCTACACCATACTAATAAATTATTGTGGTCTAAAACCAGGTGTTTCAGTTTCATTGTCCAACCCCTGTATATATATATATATATATATATATATATATATATATATATGTATGTGTGTGTGTATATGGGACTTTTTTTTTTCTTAAAATGCGATTAAATGCATTTTTCCAGACTTTAAAAGAGCCTGAGTTTACAATATTCATGCCTGTGTTATTATTTAATAGATCTGTCCACTAAAATCTATTTAAAATAAAAATGATGCTTTTTATGGCAAATATTGTTAATTTAGATTAAAATGCGATTAATCAAGATTAATTAATTACGAAGCCTCAAATTAATTAGCTTTATTTTCTCTAATCGAGTCCCACCTAATTTGAATATAATATTATCTTTGAAATTAAAGAATTTGTTTGATGTGAAGCATTTAGTTGTGGCAATACTGAAAAAAAAAAAAAACTGCAAGGGGGCAAAAACTTTTTAACTGTACTAAATCAGCTAGCTAATACCAGCTTGTTAGCTTGCTATTTTGTACTGTGTAAATATAGGTACACAATTTAAATATAGGTACACAATTTAAATATAGGTACACAATTTAAAGAACACTTGCTAGAGAGAGGAAGACATGCAGCAAAGGTCAAAAGGCTGGGACTCGAACCCATGCGTTGAGGACTGTAGCCTCTGTCCGCTTTACCCCTGCGGCAATGTCGCACTCTAGCTAAAACAACATTCACAATATTTATGAGGTGAATGATTTAGTTAATCTTAAAGTAGTATACAGCATGTCTGTTTTGGCAGCTTAATGCAGGCATATACCAGTTAAAAAGTAAAGCCCAGGAGGAAAGAGAGAAACTGAAAACTCAGCAGTACAATGGGTTTTGCCTATCAATAAAATTAATAGGCTTTTTACACAGTGGATGGCATCAGCCAGGGTAGCGACTTAAACACTGCAGCCAGATGACTCTAAAAAGATATGTTCATTCCATTACGGCAATGACAAACAAACACACAGACCCACTCATATATCTCTCTAGGATGATCCAATTACAGTAATGTTGTCCTATGTAATGCTCAGCTAACACTGTACAACAAAATGACACAAACTGAAATAATGTTGAGTATGAGAAACAAGTCTCTTTTCTTGGCCCCAAACCTGCTTCAATTCTGTTAGCCGTTTGTTGACTGCTCGCTCATATGCAGCTTTAGGGCAAATTTAAATACAAAACCTGGGAAGCAAAAGAAAACACCAGCATGCTTTATTTGTAATGCAAATACTTCATGAATAAAAAAACATTGAGCAGATGTACGTTTTCATTAGGAAAAAACTACATTTGGACTTTCAAAACTCAAAGCTTTAACTCCCTTAGCTGTTTTTCCTGCTAAATTAAAGAATGCAGGCTGGCTTGGCCATTTCAGGACCTTAATGTGCATCCTCTATAGCCACTCTTTCATTGCCTTGGTTCTAAATTTGGGGTCATTGTGTTCTAGGTAAGGGAATAAGATTTTCCTCCAAGATTTTATGCTATATGACCCTGGCCATTTGCTTCTCGATATGATGAAGTCATGAAATATACCCAGCAGAAAAACAACCTCATCTTTCAACCTCCATGCCAGCTGCGTGAAGCTGGCACCCCACCCACGTGGAAAATTCCAGCAAGTAGATTGAGCGGTTAGTGTTCCGTTTGTGCTGGTTTGTGCCGTTGAAATTTTCGTTTGTGCTGCTTTGGTTTCTGAGATATTGATGATTATTTTTTTAGGTCATCCAAATGTCACCATCCGCCCATCTTGCTCCAAAACAAACCAGAGTGGTCTGCATTTTTAATGCTCCGTTTGTGCTGGTTTGTGTCGCTAAAACCGTTGTTTGTGCTGCTTTTGTTTCTGAGATATTATCAATTATAATTTCGGCCAATGACGTCACCATCCCCCCATTTTACTCCGAATTGAACCAGAGTGGTCTACTTTTTTAGTTCTTCGTTTGTGCAGGTTTGTGCCATTAAAATTTGCGTTTGTGCTGTTATGGTTTATGAGATATTATAAGTTTAAATTTCAGCAGATGACGTCACCAACACCCCATTTTGCTCTGAATTGAACCACAGTGGTCTCATTTTTTAGTGCTTCGTTTGTGCAGTTTTGTGCTGTTAATTTCAGACGATCACATGACTTTACCTGTGACTGTGGAAATGGATTTCACCAGCTGCAGGCTGTAATTGGCAATTGTTTTTAGTTTCACGTTGTTTTCATATGTTCCAGTACATCCTTATTCACCATTTCAGTCATTTCAGAAGTTAAAGTTGGCAGATGTTACCAATGCAGGTAAGAAGACAAGGTAAGTCTTTTATTTCTTTCTGCAGAACAGTGACATTACAATGACGTTGTTTATGTGTATTTTATGGAGCCATTCGGAGTACATTTCCTGGACAATGTCTTGTACACATGCAGCTGAGTATGACTCAGGTGGTGACAGAAAAACTTGTCCAGTCCAATATCTGCAATGCTTCGACTGTGAGGTGTGCTATATTTTAGTACTTGCAAATATATTATGGTAGCTTTGTCCTCTAATTCCAAATCGTTTCTGTCTTGTTTGACTTTACACAGTGTGGCAAAATTAGTTAGGTGGCTTGGCTCGGAATCTCCAACATCCATCAGATCGGCTGCCTTTGCTGACCTCCATACAGCTGGTTCCATCCTGCCATCACACAGCCCTTATGCAGGTTTCCACACAGTAACCACTTGGAATGGCCAGTGGCCATGGAGATATCTGTGTCTTCTGTTAGAATTTTCTTAAAGTTACCTGTGTCTCCTTACAGGAACATATGAAGAAAATATGTAACATGCTTATTAAATGCTTTATTAGAGGTTTTACTGCTGCATGCACACAGAATCAGGGTTCATCACAACCACTGACCACACTGCGCAATCCAGTTAAAGCTGCTTCAGGCTGACACATAAATTTACTGATACACTGAGGTTTGTGCTTGGTATTATGTAACAAGGTGGATCCTAGAGTACATAGTGATGAGTGTTCTTTGTTTCGGTGTGTTCCACCTTCATCCACAAAAGGATTAGGATTGGGCCCCCGGTACCGTAGTTGTACTATTTTTCTGCTTTTCTAAAGTATTTAAAATGTATTTACAGAGTTGTAGTATATCATTTAAAGTTTAAAGGGTAAATTGAATCTCTTTGCCTGGAATAAAAAGACCTGAGTAACCAAAGCGGAACGGTTGCACTTCGATGGAACATTGGAGCACCATTGGGCTGTTAACTGCTGGCTGTCACATGTCATTTCAACATGGCCATGATACTCTTTACAGGAGCCTCTGATCTCTATGTAAGTACTGCTAAAAGTTGGATAGATCTTGGCTCTTTGGAACACAAATGTACACATTTTGACCTTCTTCCAAATCTTTTCAATTATGACATGAGTCCAAGTGCCAGGTTTCAAAATTGTGTATTCACTTTTCCCAGTTGAGAAAGCTTGTTGTTGTATTCTACTTTTTCAGGTATAAATTTTAATTCAATGAGAACTTTTCTGGAAGAAATGCAACCTGAGTCTAACTCTGTGTCAACACTACTTTCAGAATCACTTTCCTGATCACTAATTTCCAAAGATGACCAGATGCCTGGTGTCTGTTTAATTTCACAAAGGTATACAGGGCCTTTGCAGACATCTTGTTTTCCTGCTGCTGGCTCAGATCTGTCCAGACATTGGCAGGTGGCGTGGCTATTTTGGCGTTTTGGAGTATAGCCTTTTTTGAGAGTACTGCAAAAAGGGAATTCCTGTCTCCCGATGGCTATCGGGGCATATAATTAAAGAATAGAAAAAGCAAAAGCTTTGATTAGCATTGATCAAAAGATTAATTCTGGTCACATAATCTGTCTGGAGCCACGAAACATATCACTCTACAGCAATACCTGGACAGTTACTGCTTACAACCTTCAAATCACAACCCATTAAACCCCATTAAATTTGGAAAGTGTTCTTGGGTGTCTTGAAAGATGCCACCAAATAAAATGCATTATTATTTTTACTACTTGGCTTGCAACTAAATGTACCTGTTGAAAATGTTCCTTAGCCCTATAGGGTCACAGATGCTCCAAAGTATCCGTTAATGAATATGAAAGTCATATCTGTGAGACAAAGCCTAGCTGAGTCTTCATTTCAACATGTATCTGTTGTAATTATGAATCTGAGAATATTATTTAATATTAATATTTTAATATTTTATCAAATAATATTTCGGTCTGTTAAGGGTTGTCCTGTGAATACCAGCCCAGTAAGGCGATGGTATTAGGACAA